TTGTATAACTGTTTGTATATTTTAATCTTTAGTCATTTTATCTTGTTCTAAAATATTTCTCAGTCTTCAATTCTTGCCTTCTTGGCTTCTTCTTCTTGAAATCATTGAGTCTAGGTCAGAATATTGGAGACTATACGTAAGTATTGGGTTCAAGTTTCAGGGTTCACAGTTCAAGGGTTCACGGTTCAAGGTTCAGGTTTGGTGTGTGCGTAGTGTGGCTTGTAGGTTAGTCCGAAATATTCTATATCTTCCTCAAAACGAGTAGGTGGGTTTTACTTACTCTTTAGAAATCATTTATTTCTCCTTTTCGTTAAATTACAAAAATACCTTTTCTAAAATAGTTCATAGATTATATAAAAATACCTTTTCTAACATAGTTCATAGATTATACAAAAATACCTTTTCTAAAATAGTTCATAGATTATACAAAAATACCTTTTCTAAAATAGTTCATAGATTATACAAAAATACCTTTTCTAAAATAGTTCATAGATTATATAAAAATACCTTTTCTAAAATAGTTCATAGATTATATAAAAATACCTTTTCTAACATAGTTCATAGATTATATAAAAATACCTTTTCTAAAATAGTTCATAGATTATATAAAAATACCTTTTCTAAAATAGTTCATAGATTATATAAAAATACCTTTTCTAAAATAGTTCATAGATTATATAAAAATACATTTTCTAACATAGTTCATAGATTATATAAAAATACCTTTTCTAACATAGTTCATAGATTATATAAAAATACATTTTCTAACATAGTTCATAGATTATATAAAAATACCTTTTCTAACATAGTTCATAGATTATATAAAAATACCTTTTCCAAAATAGTTCATAGATTATGTAAAAATACATTTTCTAAAATAGTTCATAGATTATATAAAAATACCTTGTCTAACATAGTTCATAGATTATATAAAAATACCTTTTCTAACATAGTTCATAGATTATATAAAAATACCTTTTCTAACATAGTTCATAGATTATATAAAAATACCTTTTCTAAAATAGTTCATAGATTATATAAAAATACCTTTTCTAAAATAGTTCATAGATTATATAAAAATACCTTTTCTAAAATAGTTCATAGATTATATAAAAATACCATTTCTAAAATAGTTCATAGATTATATAAAAATACCTTTTCTAAAATAGTTCATAGATTATATAAAAATACCTTTTCTAAAATAGTTCATAGATTATATAAGAATACCTTTTCTAAAATAGTTCATAGATTATATAAAA